TCTTTTTTTTTTTTTTTGTCCTTTTGGAGACCGGCCACCCCGCACTCAGCCAGTGAGCGCGCCAGCCATCCCTATATAGGATCCGAACCCGTGGCCTTGGTGTTATCAGCACCGCACTCTGCCGAGTGAGCCACGGGCTGGCCCGGGACAAACAACAGTTTTGAACCAAAAATAGTAATGCAGATTCTGACTTTCTTGATGGCATGTCAGTAGCTCTCTGGATTACCATGGGATTGCTGTTGAACAAAGTGAGGGGACCTCTGTTAATAGCATCACAGCTCCCAATGAATGAGAGCTCCTAGTCTCCAGCCTCATTTCTCAGACACTCCCAATTTACTTGAACTTCAACACTACTGGGATTCCCAATGGTGTTATGATGTGACTTTTCCACTTCAGAGGTTAAACGACCTACCCACTGCCATGTGAACCAACAGAAGGGCCAAAAACAAAATCCCCTCTGATTTTCAGAACATTAACAACAAGCGTACAACCTCCTCCAAATGTAACCTAGTGCCCTTTCGTTACTGAACCCACTGAATATTCTATATGTTGTCTGGACATTTCTCATCATTCTCTTCCCATGTGCTCAGATGATGTTATAGCTTTATAAGTAGCAGATCCTCTCAAGAGAATGACTCCTGAAAGATGCCGTGACACCCTCTCCTCACTGACCCCGGCATCTGATTTACTCACTAGGGGTCATTGGTGAATCTAGGAAGTCGTGGCTGTGGGAAGCCATAGAGGTGACAGTAGAGTACATCAAAACAGTAGCAGCACATCTCTGCAGTCACCACCAGATTCTTAGTGGTGTTGGCAGTTCCGTTGGGCCGAGGGATAGGGCTCAGCGCTCCCGATGCGGGATTCATTCGTGTGATGGGAGAGTTTCCAGGTCCCAGAGTTAAGTCCGACACATTCTCCCGTCCACTGCTGCTGTCCACATGCTGGTGATTTTGTAGAGGTCCTGAACTAGAGCCAGGGACAGTTGTGGACTGGTTCCCGTGACTGTGCGTTCCACTTCCAGATAATTTGGGTTTCTTGACCCCACAACAGCCTGCTGCCAACTTGGGCTCGAGTGGAGGAACACAACGTCTTTTTCCCATCCTGATTCAGTGCTTGAGGTCTGGAATGCTGCAGAACCCTAACCAAAAGAAGAGTTAAGTGTCAATTTGAATGGTTGGTTAAAAGGAGAGAACAAAAATCAATGAGAAAGAGTCTACGTGGACAGAGTAAAATTCATCAATTTCTCTTTCCTACCTGAACCTCTAGGTCACAAGGTCAAACAGGGTCACAGACCAGAAGGGCTGGAAGGGACCCCGAGTCCCAGACAGGGACCCCTAACCATTTTCTAAAGGGAAACTGTTTTTCATTTTCCATAGAGCTTATGACCACCATGAATGGAGGCAGGCAACAAACAGCTCCCTCTTCCCCAAGACTCCCCAGGGCAGAAGAAAGGGTGGGGCAGCAGCCAGCATGAAGCTGGATGGGGACATTTCAAAACCAACTGGAGGACTGCACTTGACCTGTCAGACTCATCATCATCATCAGGTATTTTCTCTACCTTTCTTAGAGGCTCCAAATTGAACTATCCAATTTTTTAAGAACTCCAGAGGAACTTTCAGGCTTTTACTTGTTACCCACATCCTGTTAGCATTTTCCTTCTATGTAATTTCCGCCCCAGACCACAGTGAAGATGAAATGCAGTCAGCTGTCATTCTGAAAAGGGCACACCTTCTAATACAAGGCTCCCACCTTTTTGTCTTCACAGCTCTCCTTCTCCAACCCCTCAGTCATTTTCTTCAGTTCCCCTCTGAACTCATTCCAATTTCTATACATTTCTCTATCCTTTCAAGACCCCATTCAAAAAAACTGCAACCCGTTAGAAACCTTTATTCACACAAATGACCCAAGCTTCAGAGTCCTTTTGTGAGGTAGCCATTTCTGTCCTGTCATAGCCAGGCAGACAAATACAAAGCCATTCGGCTTAACAAAATGTGGCATCACAGGGCCAGGGAGCTAGAGTCTCCCATCTGATAATGTGAAGGGGAGGAAGGGATATCTTTTCACTAAATTTTTTTTTCTTAAAAAGCCCAAGGTAAACATCACGGTCAAGGGTTCAAATCCCCTTACTGGCCAGCCACAAAAAAAAAAAAAGCCCAAGGTAAAAATGACATGTATAGCTATAACACGACCAAGGTCTTTTCTGTTATCTGAAAAGGGTCAAACCTCAACAGAATCAGGAAATTAGATGCTAGTT